TCTCTCTTATTACTACTATATATATTCATTACTATTATCTCACCACTACCACAGTTCACACAGTTTTTATTGGACAAATCTTTCTAATTTATTATAGTATTTGTTCTGCATGTTAAGACCAATACTCTTGAACTAGGATGATATTCAAATCTGGAACTTCCTCCTTAAGAGTTTCACAATCATGTCATCATTTAGGAACATGGCACCACAGTCCACATACTTTATTAGTATTTACCATTGTTATATCATGATCACTCCATTACCATAATTTTTTTCAAAAACTATTAGTCAACTTGAATATAGCAAATAAAATTTTTAGCAAAAATTCCTTTTGTACACGTTTTTGTACCCATCAGTACACGCATGTGTCTGTAAGAGTTTTTTTTTGTCTGTGAAGTGCGGTCCACAGACAAAAGCTGGTTTGTTTTGTCTGTGAAATTTTCCACAGACAAAACAAGCGAACTTATGTCTGTGGACCGCGCTTCACAGACAAAAAAATACTCTCACAGACACATGCGTGTACTGATGGGTACAAAAATGTGTACACCAAGAATGGTTGAATTTTTAGAAGCTATTTCACTTGAATTGTATGTACGGAGTAAGAATCTATTTCCAATGTCATTAATTATGATAACCATTATCATTATCATCATCATTACTACATGGTACTCTATTACTTTAACATTTACCTTTATCGTTATCATTAACACACAAACACGGCTACTGATGATCCCATACATAATTACCTCTCCATAATAACTAAAAGAACATTTTATCATACCACGACAATAATTAGCAATACCATTACCTTGCAGGCTTGCACTTACTGATATTCTTCCACTTTTTAGTTCCCGGGAAAAGACAACACAAATAAAAATAAAATAAAGAGATATTACCCAAAATGGGACTAAAAAGTTTGAAAATTCCAAAATAGGACTTTCATGTTTTTATTCTCAAAATAGGACTAATTACTGTCATGTTTTGGCAGTACCAGACTTCAAACATGACAGTATTTTCCAAATTTGGCAGTAATTAGTCCTATTTTGGGAATGAAAACATGACAGTCCTATTTTGGAATTTTCGAACTTTTTTAGTCCCATTTCGGGAACTTTCCCTAAAATAAAGTGAACAATTGTGTACTCTTTCCCGGAACTCCTTAATTCACCCGAAGTTGTTAGATTTAAATGGGATGGAAATCAATCTAGTGTATTTGATTTAACAATTGTGCATTACCTCAAACAAAAATGTGTATTGAATTGTATTCATCTGAAATTGTGGTAATATTTTTATAAATAAATTTCACTCTTTTGCCGTTGTGTGAACTACGATTCATTATCTTAACCGAAAATGTGTATTACGTAGTAATTATCATGAATCAAAATGTGCGTTGAGTTCATCATTCTCGTAGGAAGGCCATTCACACTTGAATCAGACCTTTAATTTGTATAATTACTAGTATTCTACCCGTGCGATGCACGTGAACATTTTATTAACATAAACAATGTGTTCATATAAGAACACAAATTTAACCAAGCACTCCAGCCTAGCTGGTTGCGAGGTTACCGTGCCTAGCGAGAGGTCTCGTGTTCAAATCCCGCTAGGCACACAAGGGTGTGAAACTCAATGGAGTGAGTTTCAGTCCTGATTACTCCAGGCTCCCCCCAGCCCCCCTCCCCCAGACCCCCCGGAGTAAAAAAAAAAAAAAAATAAAAAAAAAAAATAAGAACACAAATTTTGGCATATCATGTTATATGTGGATGTTTTTTTGCTTACAAAAAATATATTCTCTATGTGTGAACGATATATACCATTTACAATAGTCATAATTGCATGGTTGGTAATCATTATTAGTTAAATTTGATGAACCCGTTTGGAGAACTCTGTTTTCGGTTTATCAGGCTTATCAGCCAGCTTTTTCACCAAACACGTAACTTTTACTTTCGCGCGCTGAATTCTGTAATAAGCCGAAAAAGTAAGGTTGGAGTTACTTTTCTGGCTGTATTGGCTGAAGTTACTGTAGAGGACCATTTTAGCTATTTTTACATATAATTTTTTCTTTAATTTATTAATAAAATATATTTTTAATTTTTTTTTCTTAAATCAGCAGAATCAGCCAAAACAGCCACTCCAGCCAGAATATCATAAATTTCAGCAAAATCAGCCAAAACAGCCGATTTTGGTGCTACCAAACGGGCTCGATATTTTTAGAAATTTGATTGTAGTGCATAACTATTCAAATTATAAAATTGGATTTTAAATAACACGAATCCCTTATTTTAGGTGTTAATGGCAAATTAGATGTCAATGATTTTTATGTAATTTAATACTTACACGTAAATAATCACTATGTAATTTAATACTTTCAGTCAATAAAAAATGTCCCCTAATTGCAACATTAAATCGTTATATGCAATCATGAGATCTTAATTTTAAAACTTGAGTGCGCTTAAAAAGTTATGAGTCTAAAACGCCCCACCTATATGGTCTTTATAGTTATTTCTATTTTTATATATGCAATATTTGTTTCATATGAATAGTACTATGAATTTTAATTTTCTTTTTATAAAAATTAAATTATAAATAAAAGAGTTATATCTGTTTAAAAAAAGAGAGATTTAAATTTGGGTCTCTTTGAGTGATTTGAGATTGTTTGTCGTGTTCCAATTAAAAGTTTACAATATAACACAGTTTTGCATAATAATAATAATTAAATAATCCTTCATCCCAGTTTAAGATTCTAACGGGTCATTTTTAAACATTTTAATTAACACTTTTAAATTATAACTTAATCACTAAATATTAAAAATAATATATCTATAACATTACAATTATCATCAATCGCATCATTATATTATATACTCATCAAAACTATTTTTGATGAGTATATATCCATACATTATAAAACAGACCAGACCAGACTTAAGCAAATCAGACCAAACTTAAACAAATCAGACCAAATCAGATCAGATTTGGACGATTATAAAATATACATAGAGCAGATATTTACCAGACTAATTCAAACCAGACCAGACTTAAACAGACTAAACCGAATCATATCAGACCAGACCAGTAAATTTTAGTCCAAAAGAAAACATCCTTAATATGTATTTTCAAAATGGTGTCTCAACATCCCATTTTGATAAACCAATGCACACATTATATTGGATGACGTGGAACAATATTATTATGTATACATTTAATTTACTTCATATTAAGAGCATCTCCAATGCTATAATGTTCACGGTGCACATGTGGCATGAGTGATAGCCACATAAATATCAGCAAATAAATTATTTCTCTCCTTATTTGAATGATTTTATACAATTTTGGTAAGTTTTTCCCTACAATGTCAACAGCAATGTCAACATCTAGACGGTCTCGTTGACAGTGTGGAGAAAAACTTACCAAAACTGTATAAAATCATTCAAATAAGGAGAGAAAAAATTTATTTACTAATATTTGTGTGACTATTTTTCATGCCACGTGTGCACCGTGCACATTTTACCATTGGAGATGCTCTAAACGTGGTAAAACGTACGGTAATGATAATTTATGTGTACATTTGATAAACCAATGCACGCATTTAATTTACTTCATAAACCAATGCACACACCATATATGGTAAATTATTAATATTAATTAAGAACAATTATTTTTTGGTGGAATTTAATAATTAATTTTAATTTATAGAAACGTGGTAACTATGGATGGACCCGGGCCGGTTCGGGCCCGGTTCGGGCCTAGGCCCGGCCGGGCCTCGGGTCTGTTTTGTTGGGCCCGAGCCCGAACCGGTGGCCACCGGTTCCGGGTCCGGTTCCGGGCCGGGCCGGGCGGGCCACCCGGTTTAATTTTTTTTTTTTTTTCCTTTCTCCCCCCACCCCCCCACCCCCCCACCCCCCCAAACCCCCCCAAACCGGCCTAAACAGATAGCCCAAGCCCAACAGCCTAAAACAAATGAAAAAAATTAAAAAAAATATATATTTGGCCCGGACCCGGGCCCGAACCGGCCGGGCCGGGCCGTCAAAACCTTGAACCGAGCCCGGAACCGCCCCACCCCCGGGCCTCCGGCCCGAACCGGACCCGGACCCGGATAACCGGGCCGGGCCGGGCCCGCACAGTAGCGGGTCGGGCCGGTCCCGGGCCGGGCGGCCCGAACCGAGGCCATGCCTAGTGGTAACGTATGAAGGAGTAAGGGAGTGATTAATAAGGCAATCAATAAGATATAGCTAGAATTTATCTTGAAATGACATGTGGCTATGCATTCTAATAGAATGACATGTGGCAAAAAAATCAAATGTTACTCTCAATTGTATAATATATAGATATAGATTATAATGGCTGAAATCCCAATTAAATAAAAGTTATTTAGATTTAGTATAATCATTTCAATTTCAATTTAACTTTTGATTCTGGATTGAACTAATTTAGTTTAACCGTTATTTCAATTTAAAAGTTTTGATTCTAAACTAAATTGAACAGCTTCACATGAACTATATCGACATGGTAAAATAGTCTAACTTTTGTTTTAACATATTTAAATATTTAACTTAGCAGTTACCAAGAAAGGTATGCATCAAGTTTAATGGATAAAAAGAGATAGTGAAAGTATAAACGGAGATTTGCTATATACTGCATTGTTCTATACTACAATTAGTGTTTTGAGCATTTCACTAGTACAAAAAAGGGTTTTAACATCGGCTAAAAACGACCTTTTACATCGGTTGTGGAACTGATGTTGAAACGGACCATGTGAAAAGTCTGGTGCATTGAGATCGGTTGGACAACCGATGTAAAAAAAACTTCCTGCATCGGTTATTTGAGAGACCGATTTTAAAAGCAAGGGAACCTGCGATAGACACACCTTTCTACATCGAGTATAACCGATGTTAAAGGTTTCTATATTGGTTCTATTCTGACCGAAGTGAAAAGTCTTCTCAGCAACATCAGTAGAAACCAATGACAAAGTAGGGGTATAAACCAATGACAATTTTTAATTTTTTTTTATAAAACCAGTATCCATTCATGCAATTATCATTCTCTACACCAAACGTTCCACCATGATAACTACAAATAACACACTTTGACTCCTTTAACATTGAATCAATCAAAGCACAAGCTCAACATCCAATGAGTAAAAGTCATCATTCAAAGTTGTTTACTAACATTCCAAATGTGTTAAGCATTAAAAATATTTTTACATAAAAAGACCAAATCCAGCATCAACAAAATCATGATCTTAAAAAGTTCCCTTCATCCGGCGTCTTTGACATGATTTGCTATTTCCAGAAAGAATGATGTCCAACGAGTCCACATTTGATCTCTAGCTTGAAGAAAATATCATATCTACAATTCGAAATATGAAAAAAATTATTATATCAATAAATCAAGTGAACTAGATTTATAAATTAAAATATTAAATACACATAATAAGTGCATTCATAAATCAATCAATCTACAAAACATTACACTCATAAATGTAAATAATGGTAGTTTACGATTAATAAGACACAAACCTCACTAACGCAGAATAAATCCATCAAGTATATAGTTCATTTGTGTGATCACAACCAATATGTGTGTTGCTGTAATCCCATCAGTTTTCATATCAATAGAAAACTATAAACGGGTATAATAAAGATCTCGTTTTGAAGCAAGTACATGCAAGTAAAATAAGGCTTCACATGCATTAAGATGATTTAAGTAAACACATACATAGGACAAAGCTTCTAGATGTGGAAGTATCAACACTATACCTAACAATGAAGACTCAACAATAAACGCATACCTCTGATAAAGATCCCCGTCAACCCTATGCAAGGAAAGTAGGATGCCCTGCATTTTACCCTCTGACGAATCACTAAACAAGTAGCAAATTCAGACATGAATCACACTAATGGGTATGGTTAGAAAATTCAAAACGCTATCCCAACAAAGATAAGTTATATTAGCACTTCACTAGGAGTAAAACCTGGATAAATTTAAACTGCTAAATCGATCTCCAGCCTTCTCTCCCAACCAACGGACTAAATGGCTCAAACTGCACTTTGTTGAAATAGTAAAGTGTCCAGAAAAGGTTCTATAGTGTAAGTGTGTAACCATTATACTCCATGTCATACTTATAGTTGGAAAAAGGGAAAACAGAATGAATTTCCAGGTCTTGCAATAAAAAAGAAAAAAAGATTGAAATAAAAGAGAAAAACTATCTGGCACACATTAAAGTTACTAAAATCACTTACTAACTTGGAGAAACATAACCCAAAAACGTTTTGTTAATATGTATGCTTTCAAGCTCAAGAATTAGTAGCCTCAATATCTGCCACTTTATAACATCGTTTCTTTTATTTGTACTTGGTGTCTAAAGAAACTGGAATATCAATTGGTGACTGCAAAAAGCCAAAAAGAAAAAAAGGAAAATGAGAGATGTATAGTATTATAAATAAACAATCAACTTATAAAAAATAATAACTTGACAAGCACTATCAAGTATCTAAAAACTATTAGCATATTTTTTACCATGGTAAAGCTATTTTAAGTTGTCAATGAATTAGCATGATATGGTGTCTAACCAACCAATACAAAAGAAAGACATGTAGTTATAAAAATCTAAAAAGCTAAAGGAAATTACTACATCACAAACTAATACATCCTCCTTTTGGAATCACAAATAAATATCGCTTTCCAAGATACTAAATATTATATTAAAAGAAAATAAGTAATTAACTACTGTCATAGAGCTTTAGTGAAGATGTTCCTCGCTAACATGAGTGTTGGCTCTTGGTCTCTATTTGAAAACTGAAAGCAGTAACATGACTTAAAGAAACATTGGCTGATTCATGTGTTAAACCATATATATGACTTAAGGAAACTGAATCTGACCATAGATTACTTAAAGAAACTTAAAGAAACTCAGATTCACGGGAGGACTCCACCTGTGATGATGCTCGGTGACTGAAATTGCTGGCTGGAAAATGGTCTCTGGGTGATTCAAACTCGCTGGGCGACTCCATCGATGACGTTCGACCCTCTCTGCCCTCTCGAACGCGGTCTGACCCCTTTGCTCTCTCGAACGCCGGTCTACTGCTCTGCTCGCTAACGCCGTCCAACGATGAAGGTATGAATTCATGACCTGCAACTCGACGCCAGAGCCGCGGTCGCGTTAGTCGCGATAAGGGTATGCCGGAGCCGTAGGTGTCGCGTTTCAGCCTCTGATCTGGCTGAATTAGCTTAGGTTTACGGATCAATTATAACTCCAGCCGATACTCAGATAGTCAGATAGCAGTATAGCACGTCATCTATATAACTTTAATTTCATCCGATCTCGATTTAGGGACGATTTTCTTTCAATATTTTTTCCTACATCGGTGATAACACATGTAAATTAAACTTTCATTAATTCTAAAATTTACCCCGTTTTCTTTTTCACATCCGTTCCAGAATTCCGATGTAGCATATTTAACAAAATTTTAAAATATACCCCGTTTCAATATTTAACATCAGTCAATTACACAACTGATGTGAAAAAGTTTATACAAATTGTAAAAAAGACCCCGTCCCAATATTTCACATGGGTTTTAGGATAACACATGTAGATAAGGTGATGTAAAAAGCCTTTTTTGTACTAGTGTTTAAGGTCTCAATGAATCATACGACTTTGATTCATTTATCAAAACATGATTATTTTGGAGAAATTTCTCTGCCAGTTTCATAGTCACTGTGATGTAAATTTTGAATACAATTATGCCTATTAAGAGGAACTAATCGTATAATGATATTTGTTTCTTGCATTAATATGATTACTTTTAGAGATTTTTTCATTCTCATTTAATATATTAAATGAGAAAAAATCATACATTACCTCTGTTTCAAAATCTTTGACACACTTGGATTTCACAAAGATTAAAAATTTACTGAGGGTAAATTTTACTATAGAGTGCACCGTTTTGACACTATTTTGCACTAATTTGCACCATTTTGTATTGTATTGATATAGATTTGTTTATCAAATGGGAAGTGCGACATTCATTTTGAAACGTCCAAAAAAGGAAAGTGTGTCAATGATTTTGAAACGAATGTAGCATAAGTTAACATAAAAATATACTCCATAATAGAAATTTTAAGCTAAAAATTAAAGGTAATTTTTAAAAAAAAATTAAAATATTTAAGAAAAAGATGAAACATCCAAAAAAACTCATAATCATTACCTGTATATTATTAAATTAAATTATTGGGGGGTTTATAGTATACTTCATATATGAAGGATTAAGAATGTTTTCAGTCCCAGACCAGATCAGACCAGTCTAGATAAAACTTTCATAGTTATAAAATACACAAAGACCAGAAATATATCAGACCAGACCAGATCGATCAGCAAATTTTAATTAGTCCAAAAGAAAATATGATTATTATAATAATTATAGTACACTTCGTATGATAATTATTGAAATGGAACGTATGTAATAACTTAGCTTTCTAAATATATATGAACAATATGATTATTATAATAATAATATATACGGAAACGTATGAACTAACTTTCCAAATAGAAATGAAGACTAATTATTATTACGGACTACGGAATATTAATTATGTAGTGCCATGTGTCAAATAGTAGGTAAAAGAATGACATGTGGCAATGATACATAATAGAATGACAAATGGCAAAGTGACTTCCAATTGTATAATATATAGATGTAATTATATTGAAAGAAATATAATAGTACAAATATGATTATATATACGGAGTATATATATCGTCAATCACTATTTTATCAACCAAAAATAGTCTCTACATTTTTGACAAATATATAGCAACTACGGAGTATTTAGAATGGTCAACTACATATTAATTGTATCAACCACATTTCCCTATTTCTCTACAATATAATTTTGTTTTATTTTGATATACGAAGTAATGTATGTGTGATTCCTAACAATAAAATATTCTTAAATAAATGCAACATTTTGACTTTTACAATATTCACATATTCTACTTTGATTATGTATTATTTATTAATATAATAATATTATTTTATGAAAAAAATATTGTTAAACTTGTCTCATTGTAAATTTTCATAATCTAATTTTTTTAATTTTTTACTAAACAAAATCATTTATATTAATGGTCAAAGTTGTGTCTCGACAAGTGTGAAATGTTGCCCGTTGCATTTATTTAAGAACGGAGTAAGTAAGCAAGTAAAGATGGAATCTAGCGGCCTTGAGGGATACAATCGGACGACGATGCGGCAGCTGGTTGCACGGCGACTACCTCGGGTTGCCTTCAGCGGTCAAAATGGTGGCAGAAGGCGGGCGGCTGGTGGCATGCAGATCACCACCGTCGGCGGAGGCAGATGGTGGCGGCTGTTCAGCATCATCATGGCAGTGTTTGGCTTCATGCTGAGCAGCTTTATCCGCAGCTTTGGCTACATAATAATCCATCTCTGCTTCTTTCTCTCTCGCCATTCTCACCTCATGAGCCACTTCCATTCTTGCTTTTGCATATTCTTTCTCCGCCTATTCCAAAAACCATAATTATAAATACTACGTACTACGTATTAATCAAGAAATTTGTTCAAAAAAAATACTAATCAAGAAATTGTTCTAAATAGAAGTAAAAACGTTTGTGAATTCTTATGATCATGATTTTAGTCGCTAAATAAGAACAACTACGGTTTTGTTTGATATTATTTTCCAAACTTTGCAATATTGAAACTCTTTATGGAATAAAACATGACGATCCTTTTTAAATATTTCAACACATTTTTACTCTTATTTCATGAATTTTCCCGTTAAATCACATTTTTTATGATTTTTAGAATCGAATAGACTAGTATTAGGTATATATGCACCTTTTCTTCCTCCTTGGCTGCCGTCTTGGCCTTGCGAATGGCGCTCATATCATTCAATTTCTCCTTGATAGCCTGCATTTTTAGTTAATCTTTACGCACTACACTATAAACGGCTTAAGGCAACACTAAAAATATGTTGCGCTACACCCTAATGTGTTGCCTTAGGAATCTATGGCAACACTTTTCCTATTTTGAAAGTGTTGAAATTTTGGCCGTTGCTATAGATGTCTATAGCAACAAAGTAAAATGTGTTGCCACAATTTTGGCTAGGGCAACAATATTCTCTAGAAAACTAAAAGCAACACATTTAAATGGAAATGCAATACTCAAGATATTGCAACACTTGGAGTGTTGGAGCAACACTTGGCATGCAATATTTTATTATTATTATTATTTAAAAGCCACTGCTTGTATCTCTTGTAGGTCATTTTTAAGTTTTCTTAATTGCAACATTTATTGAATAGGTTCTAAATACTAATGCACCTGCTATGAATTAATAACTTGATTACAATCAATAATCACATGCTGGAATATAATACCAAACATTTCAATTTATCTAATAGCTAGGTCTTAGAAAAAATAATAAATCCACAAAAATCAATCATCCATTCATAAATGTGTCATAACAATTACAATCCAAACAAATGTTCAAAAAGTTCATAAGTTTAAAAGCCAAATACTTCGTATTAATTACTCCAATGTTCTAATCCAAAACTTAGCCAGCCTCCATAAATCGGAACAAAGAGCACGCGTCATCAACACCTGAAACAAAATTAAAAAAACAGGTAAATGAATCCGTAAATGCCAACTATAATTTATAACTCATTGTTAAAGAGTAAAAATTAAAGATGTGGGCAAAGATACAATTAATCGTTTGCTTTATCCATTTTTATTGTCTAAGCTCTGTTAGGGTACCTTTTTCAGAGCACCTTTTCTATTATTCACTAGTTCATCAACAGTCTTCAACAAAATAAAGCAACAATATAAACTAGATTGAACACACAACAATGTTAATTAATGAAAACAAATTAATGCATACAAATATTATAATAAAGAAATTTAATCGAGTGCCTGCAGCAAACTGTACCTGTGTAGACTATAGAAGGCGGTACTACAAACACATTATCAACAAGTATTTGATGGAGATTGCATAGAGAGCGTGTTTTCGAGCGACTTACTTCCTTTTAATTTCTACCATATTCTACTTCCTGCATTAAAGATTAAAAAATAACAGAAACTTATTGGAAATAAAAAATTAAAGCCTTGCTGCTTCACTGAAATCAAGAGGTTAAACGGTGACATGAAACTGTTGCAAAAGCCTGTGTGTTGAATTGATTGTTATTATGCATTGAACCAGGTATAAGTCATGGATTGAACCAAAATGTAGAGCATTAAAACAACAAAGGCAATGAGAATAAATATAGGTGATTAGAGTCCTCTTTGAAATTTAAACTCTTCACAATCAATAAGAGTTATTAAAATAACACATCCCAAACTACATAAATGGTACCTCCAAGCCTCCATGTCTCCACTCACTGACTCTTCATAATCATTTTGAATAAAAATGCTTTTTTTGCACCACAAAAGCTGCAGTCAATTAGGCAAGCATCTGTATTCTGTAGAATCAAAACTTAAAAACTTAATAAAAGTTGTATTCATATGATGTTCTCTAGGTATGAATCTCATACAGATTCCAGAGCAATGAACATAATTAGAATATGTATAAATGTATAATCCATATCTCATACAGGTTATATACCTAGAGCAATATATAAATGTTACTACATGTGTAAGCCTTTAAAGCCTTGCATTAATGAATTACATAAATGTAGAACAAAATTTACCTTCAAAAGGAAGTAAATAATATCAGGATTCATATTATACTTGCTTCATAAGAAAGTAGGCAGAACAATAGCAGTTGACCCTTTTGAATTCCATATCATTTTATCTCAGAGGACCGAACATTAAAATCCCGAGTTTAGAAGATCGAATGAGAGTATGAGACTAAACTTTCAAATCTGAGTTTAGGCAGAACATCAGGATTTACATTTAGAAGATCAAATGAGACTAAACTCTAAAATCATGCCCGAATTTTATAACTCGAGAGTGAAGTCCTGGAATTAACTCTAAATGAGACTAAACTCTAAAGTCGGGTTATACTTCAATTCGTGTTATACGCAGGCAATGAGACTCTAAACTTTTACTAAAATTAGACTGGAATCAAGTCGGGTCATACTTCAATTCGTTTGCATCGTCAAATGAGACTAAACTCTAAAGTCCTGCCCGAATTGCAGTGGTTTGTATAATCAAAATCAAAATGCTGAAAACAATAAACTCTAGATTAACAATTTTAAAAACCTGGAATCCGGATATGGAAGTCGGACGAATCTCTGACGAATAGGTAAGCTAGAGCCTGGAAGCCAGTCGTCTCTGGGCTTCGTTGACGGTTGAAGGCCGACGGCCGTCTCTTCGACCGTGAAAGAAGATCGACGACGACACAATACCAT